CTTGGTTTAATTCTTTAAATAATTATAAATTAAAAGTAATACACGCAAATAACTTTTTAAATAATTATAAATTAAAAGTAATACACGCAAATAACTTTTTGATAGTGTCGCTTAAGATAAAATAGTGCGTTTAAAAAATTTAAAATGTATAGAACTATTTGAAACAAAAATTTCAGTTGTGAGGTTATGAGGAGTGTGTTACCCATACGATTAAATAACGCTCCAATTTGTAATTTTTATTGGCTTTATATAGTTAAATATTCAGTCAATTAAAATATTATAATTATATTTATTCAATTAAAAAATACTTAATTATATTTAAATTAAAGCAAGCTGCATACACTCCAAAATCACTTTTATATACATTGCGCGTTTAAATGTGCTGAGAACTTTAAAGACGAAAAAATATTTTTTAAATTTATTTGGAAAGTTATACTTCTTATATCTAGAATTTTATATTAATACTTGTTTATATTAACATTACAGTTATCTGTTATGTAATATATTAACATAAAAATTATTCAGTGACTTCATTACCCGAATCTTTCATTAGATGCCCTTAAACGATAAACTCTTTAATCAGCGCTGCCCCTAACTATGAACCCATTTTTCATATTGCCGATCAATTTTTCTAAAAATTGGTGTTTAAATATAATTTCAAATATATTCTAAATACGAAATAAAAAAAATCTTTGAAAAAAGAGGCGCATCTCCATTTTTCAATTTCTTTTTGTTACGGAAAGTAGAACACGGTTATCGTAAATCCTGATAATGCCAATCTAGCTGACCCAAGAACGCCAATGCAAATTTTGAAGTCTTTTAATTTTATCCGCGGAAAATAATTTTATTTGAATGTCTTCAATTTGAATAAAATTTTGACTTCATAGTGCGTTAAGGTGGTCCTATACTAATAAAATCAAAATTTTAAAAATGCACTCATGTTTTATGATTTTCATATAAGAAATAGTATTTTATATTTAAAGCGCAGTAAAGGAAAAAAAAAGTTTTTTTTTGGGTCAAAATTTTGGGTCTATGGACCCTAAATATGGACTTCGCGCTGCGATAAACAGCCTGTAAACTAATAATGGTATGATCACAAAATTTTCGCAGCTTTTAATATCAGATGATTACACTCACCCTGCCAAAATCAAATTATTTGACAAACTATTGAAGCTTATGTAAGAAAACAGGTTTAAAGCCTAAAAAAAGCCCCTAAATAGCTTAGAACCTAGACCTTATTTTCAGAACCAGTTAACTAACATGAATTCTTTTGGTAAGGTAAATGTGCATATATACAATAAACAACTCCTAAAACTTTCAACACAATCAGACAAACCAATCTCAAGATATTTATCGCAGCGTACAAAAAACTCATATATTGAGAAAAACAATAATAAAGATTTTTAATGAAAAAAAAAAATTTTTTTATATATAAAAAAGTCAAAAAATTATTGAAAAACAAAACGACTTGAGCATTATTAAAAACACAGAAAGAAAAATGTAAAAAATATTTGAAAAACATTTAACAATAATTAAATTATTCAATTAATGAAAAAAGCTTGAATATAAAAAGATAATATACAATAACTATGTTAAAAAATACAATAATTGCCTTAACATAAATTTAATTTAAAAAGTAGCAAAAAACTAGTATCTAAAAAACTCCTGCTTCATAAGATGCACCTTCACTTTCATTTACTATATCTGTAAAACCTTTTCGTTCTGCACGAAGCAGCTTTCTTCTTTGTTTTATTGAGTCAAGCGACTTTTTATCCATCATCTTTATTCTTTCTTGGTCTATTTTGGTACAGTACTGAGTAGCAAATATACCTGTAACATTTAAATATTCAAATATTTTTAATATACCAGAAATACTGTCATTAAATGAAATTACTTCGACGCTTCCAAATGATAGCATTAATGAACTCATTTGAGTTTTGCCATGTAAACATCTACTAAGAAACTTATCATCACTAAGGTCAAGAAAAATGGGTTTAATTTTATCCCTAATAATAATTGGTATTCCAGGTTTTTCCTTGTAAGTTTTTGTGTTATTAATTTTATTACACTGGTATTTACACCAAGAGTCATTAGTTTGAGGACACATATAGTGTCGTAAGTCTAAACTCAAAGCATTTGAGTAGTGAAACAAAAGAGCACCATTTGCTTTTTTATTTGGTAAACTGTTGAACCAGTACTTTTTCGTACTGCAATACCATAATAATTTTGAAGTTTATTAATCAACTTATCAGTTAATCAACCTTTACCTCCTAATAATATGCTATCTGCCAACTTTGTTTTGTCGGTGGATTTGAGTTTACGTAGTCTATTACCAACTCGTTTTTGCACATGTTCTACACATTCTAATTTTTCAACAATCAAACCTGGGTAGGGATCACTTTTTAAAACCTCAGCATGTACTTTGGAATCCCCGTCTCCAATGTAATGAGTATATCGAAGTCCCCTAGTCTATAGATTTCAAAGTCCCCTGTCTATAGATTTCATAAAACAATCGACAACAGACGATTTTCGAAATTTTTTAAATTCCGGAATAATAAGAAACTTGAATCTTTCGTGCGTATTTTACACAAAAAAGTAGATATAGAATAAATAAAATAAACAAACAGCATCAGAAGTAACATTGGATTTTGTTTATATTAGTTTAATTATTTGCTTAATATGGCTACATGACTTTCTTGTGTTGTCATTGGTTGTTCCAATCACTCAACCAAATTTAAAAATTGGAAAAAAGCTATTTGTGGAATTCATAAATGTTCAAAAGAAGATCCTAATTGCTGCTTTTCTGAACCATTTAAACTTATTCCTTTTCTTACTGAAGAAAAAGACCCAGAGCGTCGATCCATTTGAAAAAAAAATTGATAAATCGGGTAAATTCAGACAAATCTCAATGGGAAGCTTCTAATTACAGTAGAATTTGTTCGGAACATTTTATTCATGAAAAATTTGAATATCCTACAGAACTATTGGGATACAACGCATTAAATAAAATAATAATTTGTTCCTTCTGTTTCATCTAATTGTAATCGACCAATAAATAAACGAAATAACAACATAATTTCTGATTCATTTTCAATAAAAACAGCCACTATATCTGCCTCTACTTGTAAAAATGTATATGTGATTACAGCAATTAATAAAATAAATGCTAAAATGTTTAAAAAAAACAGTTTAAAGAACTCTACTTTTAAAACTAAAATCCAAACAAACATTAGCGAAAAATCTTTGGTAATGCATAATAAAGTTTTTCCTGTTTTTTCTTCAGAAATATTGACAGACGATCTTGTTACTTTAGCATCTAAAAGTCAGTTTGTATCAAATACTGAAAAAAAAATTCAATTAAATTCAATTATTTTGACTCAAACGGTCTTTTTAATTTTAACACTCTATGCTTTAATTATCAACTGTTATTTAGAAATTAAGAAGTTAAAAGCTGAAAATATTAAACTTCAAAACAAAATTATAATGAAACCAACTAAGCCTTTATCTGTATATAAGAAGTTTCTATCAAACAGTAATGTAAAGTTCTATACAAATCTTGGTTCTTTAGAGTTATTTAATAAATTGCATGACTTTATTAGCCCTTATGTTAAAAAACAATTTAATTCTGTTTCTGTTAAAAGAACTGCTGACTTTAATAAAACTTCAATTAGGATCATTTAACAAAGATCTTGCTAGTCTTTTTTTTTTTTAATATTTCTATTAGCACTTGTTCCAAAATATTTCATTCTTGGATAAGAACATTAGCAGAAGTTTGTAAGCATCTAATATTTGTGCCAGATTTTAGCACGTTAAATGCAACAAGCCCTTTATGATTTAAAAAATATAAAAATTTGGCAGCTATTATTATATATATATATATATATATATATATATATATATATAGTATGTATATATTGTGTATGTGTAAATATGTGTGTGTATGTGTGTGTGTGTGTGTGTGTGTGTGTGTGTGTGTGTGTGTGTGTGTGTGTGTGTGTGTGTGTGTGTGTGTGTAAAAGAAAAATGCCTGATAACAAATTTAAAAAATTATTCAAACTTAGATGAGTAAAATATATTTGTTAGTTAAACTTAAACAAATTTAAGTTTGAATAGTTTTTTTCATTTGTTACCTGAAACTTTTCCTTCTACACACATAAACACGCACTCAAACACACATGCACATACACACACACACACACACAGATATATATATATATATATATATATATATATATATATATATATATATATATATATATATATATATATATATATATATATACACATTTGTTTAATATGTATATAGTGTTTTGTTTGTTTGTAAAATAAAGTAGAATATAATACTTTTGTTTCACGAATATTATTGTATACTACATACTTTGATTTAATCTAAGTCAATCATTAGTTCATCTAAATCTTTAAAACTGCGTAAAGTTGTTGAAGTTTCTAATCCATCATCGAGCTATAGGATGATATTTTTATTTATTTACAAACCTATTTTTAGAGAAAAATCTGTATATTTTTAAATATTTTATTCTTGTTTTAAAAGCAAATTTTCAAAAATTGCAAAGTTGTTATTAGATATCTTAATAACTAATTTGTTTATCTTATCACTTATTTCCACTTCGCATTGTTTATATCTACTTTTTTTATGTAAAAACGCACGGAAAAATATTTCGCCTTTTAAAATTAATTGAGGGCATTTATGTAGTAATTTAATACATTTCCCTGAATCATTAGCAATAACAGTAACAATACCATTAGGTGAGGAATGACGCCTTTTTTGCCAAGTTCCATCACAGGAAATAACAACATCAGCTATTACATTAATATCCAAATCATTTGGTTGGATATATTTGTTAAGATATCGAAATTCATTAGCTGCATTTTTCATTTTCAAATCAGCTACACTTTGGTATATGATATGAATTTTATCCTGAATATCATTAAATGCTTTTATGTTCATTGGAGGAGGTAAGTTCATTAAAGCACAATATTTT